GATTGGCCCCTGCTTTTTTCCAAGAGTTTCTTAATATAATATAGATGAACGGAATAGTAAAAATTATATAATACTTCTTTCCTTCGGAGTTTTAAGAATTTTTTACTCATTAAATTTTTATTGGAAACTGATCGCTCTCAGTTTTATATATTTCTATAACTGCAGTAATTAATGTTTTACTAAATTAAATCTTTCTGTAAGTTGTAGCAATTTAAGTATTTTTATTTACTTATTGAATTTATCTCATTTTCAGTTCAGGATAGTCATAAAAGTGTATTAAATTTACTTTAACTAAGTCCAGTGTGTAGCCTAACTTTGCAGCGTGAGTAATTTACTATTAAAAAAATATTTATTGGGCTCATTAAACTGAATTTGAGAAAGCAACGCAGCTTGTGATGTAGAAGGTAGTAGTCGAGTATACAATATAGTTGAAACCCTAAAAAATCATAAGTGGGTTTTATATTATAAAACTAGTTATAATGTATATAGGCTAAGGAAAGTTAGTAGTTTTCGCCGAAAAAGTTAATTTGTTATCGCTCACAAGTTTGTGATTACTTTGCTTTGGACATTGAGTCATTTTATGATCTTATATGATTTATAATTTTATATAAAGTAGCCTTTTAGGCAGTTAATGCAAGAATTGGAGCTATTTAAAATAAAAAAGTGGTTAGCATCGAATCAAGTGGTTTATTATAGTGTTTAGTAGATAAAAAAATCATGCAGTTATAGGAAACTATTATAAACTACTCCGAATGTTAAACTTAAGGCGAAAGTGCCACAAGATAAACTTTTTTCGGGTGTAAGGAAGGATTTATAGTTAATAATTTTTTAAAAATGACCCTAGTAACAGATTCATTCTTGCGAATTAAAAGTAACTGTTTTTTTCTTTATAATAATGCTTTTTTAATCATCCTAAAGTACATTTATGTTCTAAAGTAGCCTTCACATTCTTTAGATTAAATATATATAACTTGCTGGAAGCGCTTGTTTAATAATATTTACTTTTCGGAAAAGTAAAATTTGGTGAGCGATGTCACGAAATTTCGGGGAAAATAAAATAGTTACAAAAGAGTAAATCCCCCAATTTTGTCAATAAAAAACTTAGTGGTTGGCTGGTATAGAAGGGGTGGGATTTATTTATGACATTTCTTTAAATTAACATAATAATTTACTACTAGTTTAAATATAATGGGGTATAACATAGCTTCTACTAGTAGTACTAATAATAATAAATTTTAACTGAATATTCAACGTGACCTAAATAATATATTAGTTCAATATTTTATATTTCCTATGGAAGACCATAGGAAGGAGGATGTAATTCTACACTTTAGGCTTAATAAGTACCTTTGATCAAGTTAATAAACGTTAGAGGGAACTAATAAAAATGGTTTTTGACAACTAAAAAAAATAAAATAACTAGAATACAGTAACAACCTATACATATATAAATAATAACTTTAGTATTAAAATCTACTATGCCAAGGGAGGTTGAGGTTTTTTGTTGATAAAATTAGTAAAGTATTACTAAAAAAGGTCTGTTTATTAACTGGTCCAAAAAGTTCGGAAACTCCCGTCCAATGAACTCGGAGATCTCAACCAATGAGCTTTCTTGTTTTTATTATTAATTTATTAAAAGTTTTTTTGGGTTTGCAGAAATTAATTTTTTCGCAGCCAACAACTTGACTTTCTACGGTAATTCTATATTTGGCAATTTTATATTTTATTTTTGCGTTTTATTGTTTTGTATCGGCTTAAATTTTTATTTTATCCTCTGCGCTCAAACAATGCTAACCTCTACTTTATTGAATATTCTTGACCTCGCGAAAATTTGGTTATAGGATTCTGCTTTACTATAACTTATTGCTGCTTGCACTCCAGAGAATATACATTTTAGTTATGTAGAGCAGTTTTATTTTTAGATTCATCCCTATTATATGTTACAAGATAATTATGTTGCCTAGGCTGTGCACTAGGATAGGTTTGGCTCTTGTTCGGGTATATCGAAGATCTAAACACGATAAGGTAGGAACTTCTATAATTTCATAATACTTGCTTTGTAGGTCGTAGTAGTATAGAAACGCTCTTGTTACCAGACGTCCAAGGTAAGTGGCAGAGAGTAAAGAAAACTATAACTTGAAACCTGCATAAAATAACGAACAAACTACTTTACAAGATAGCTTGATAATTTTTATCAGTACTTAAGAATTTGTGTTCTAGATACAGCTTTGCTAGATTTTTTTGCTTTTTTGCATAGAACACAGGGATCTATATTTAAATAATCACTGTAGTACTCCATTTTGTAAATAATTATTTTTACAAAGTTAAAAGGATAATTTTACTTTGGCTATTACCATATCCCTTACATTATTACCTAAATGTTGCATTCGCTTAATTGCGTTCAAATTGTTATTATAGTTTTTAGCTTGTCATATGGGAAAAAATTATATAAACTTCGTAAAGAATCAAAAAATAAAAATTCAAAGGAGTTTGTTAGCGCAAAAGGGTAAATAATTTTGTCAACAACACTTTACTTTTATTGCTTATAACTAATAATTCTTCGTAGATATATTTATCTTTTCTTAAAAACTGAGTTTAAATTTTTTTTCATTCTCGGCTACTTATACACGCATATAATGCGTCGAATGTTAATAATTTTTTTTTTTTAATAAAATTTTTATTATTTTTATACCACTATCTGTTACACTTATAATGCGGTTATTCACGTTTTCAATGTAGTACGATGCTTACTGTATTGTTGGGAAATCTATAAGCTATTAAAACTTTAAAGTTTCAAATAGTTGCCATCTTATAATTCCTTTAATTTTTCAAGGCATTTTTATATGTTAACATAATTTCATATGCTGTGTACTCTCTGATTCCAGCCTTTGGGTACTATGAAGCTAGATTCACCTCATTGGTACTTTAGTGTTTTCTACTTAAACTCTGCACGATTTGCTTGTTTGTTGGGTTTAATTTGGTCAGCTCCTCCGGAGCGACCTTAGGTTAGTTATTTGATACTTTTAGCGTGAAGAACTTACTTCTGGTGTTAACAGTCTTTTTTGGCTTATCGATAAAGTTTTATTTGTCTTGTTTATATTTTCATTAATGAAGTTATTAATCGTGAGAAGCACTCGCAAACTCCTGCCTTGTTAAGGTTAATAATTCTTTTCTTTTCCACTAAAACTCAACTCGCCTACTTTTTTTAAAAATCCTGTGAACTATTTAGAATACCTAGGAATTGGAGATTAATCCCTTTATGGCATGCTTTTGCCTCTCCCTCTGCTTTAGGGTTTTCCCTTTAAATAAGTGAAATAATCCGAGCAAATTAATTGGAGGTCTAACTTCAATTCACCTTATTTAAGGCAAGCTGGCTTTTGGCGAATCACTTTTGTGGGGACATCTCTTGTGGTTCAATCCTTACCTGTGGTTAGCTACAGGGCTCCCGCGTGTTAAAAGAATTCTTATTTGAAAAATACAACTACTTAAAATTGAAATTCACGGAGCTCAAAAGCGGCAGCGGTGTTTACTCTACCGTATAAAGTGAGGCGCAGTACTTCTTAGGATAACTTATTGTAGTATGAAGAGAAAGAAGGCTTAGATACAAATAAAGAATCCTCCCCTAGCTATAGAACCGTGCTTTAGCTTATTCCCTATATAAGATAAGGATAAAATAAGAATATGTTGTACTAAAACCGAACTGGTTTATAAATAACTTTTGAGTAATCAATGCTAAGTTATTACGAACTAATTCTAATTGAGATTTTACTGAATTTACTAGTTGTAAAGCAATAAATACACTTAAAGATAGCTTTACCTTGCTAATAAGGCCAAAGATCTAGTTATATTATTTCGGATTTCAAAATAACAGAGTAAATTACCTAATTTTATGAATGAGAAGTGACTGAAGATTGAGAAGTTTGTTTTTTTACAGGAATCCCTTGGTAACTATTCAAACCAAAAACCAAAATATAAAGCAATGCAAAAAATTTTTTAAAAAGTTTTAAAATTACAAGTACAATTAACTCGAATGTCTTTTGCAATACTTGAAAAAACAGTTCCAGGGTTTCTAAGTATTTCAAAAGATCAAAGCAATTTCTACATCAGTCTTAAAAACAGCCGTCGCATGCCACTGGTAAAGACTTCAACTTGGAAGTTTGGAGAGCTCCTTCAGACCGGGACAATCTGCAATTAACTTTTTCTTAATTTTATAAGAGAATAAGGGTGTTTAACGAGCGAAAACACCTGTAATATTAAATCCACGCAGGTTAAATCTCCAGTCGTTTCCTCCTCGAACCAATCTGAATACTTAAGCAAGTAAGTAAAAAAATATCCTTAATAAGTGAGGAGTTGTTAACTTTTTTTTTTAAAGAAAAAGAGTAATAAAACCTCCTACGAAATAAAAATAATGTCGTTTCTATACATTTTAACTGTGGCTAATTCACCTTAAAATTCCCCAATCTTTAAAAATTGCTTTTAGCTTACGCTTTATTTCTATTAAAATCCAGGTTTCACCACATTTAACAAAATTTGCAAACAACACAATCTTTATTATTGCAACTAATAGTTTATGATAGTTTTACTTTATGCAAAAAGTTACATTCTAGTTGCTTATTCATCCATAATAATTACTCTTTTTTTTTTTTTTGAATGTTTCTTGTTACAAATAAACTACTTCTTAGGTAATAGAACCTTATCTTAGTTAAATTGCCTCGTCCTCTTAAAAATTATTTGAACATCCTTTCTAATTAAATATTAAAAGTTAAAGATCATAACTTAAAAAAGTTTTTAATTTCGTCATAATACAAGCCGAAGAAAAAGTAAATGTCACTTTTGTAAAGGACACTAACAGTACCCCACTGTCGCCATAGGAAACCTCAATCACCTCTGCTTATAGTATTATTGCACGCTTGTAATTTTTCAGGTGCAGTCTTCGCAGGTTTTAAAAAATTAACCAACTTTTTGTGTTTATAGAGAATTATATGCTATATTAAGCTAAGATGAACTCTTTTATGAAAGAATTAGAAAACGCAGAAAAGGACATTTTCGCTAGTAATTTGTTTTAACAATTGTAGTTTACTTTAGTCTTTTGTTATCTGACTTTTTAAAAAAGACTCAAGCTCTTCTGAACCTTTGGGCACCCTTAATTTTTTAAAATATGGAAACAGTAATCAAGTTCAAATTGAACCTTTAGGCCATTCTGCTTTCCTCTATACGAACTTGGTTTTAAATTTTTATAATCTGCAAACTTTACGAGATATGTTAATATTGTAAACAATATAATTGTTACTTTTAAATATACAAGAAAACTTTCGAGGTTCCTCCTCTTTATAACGATAACTTAGCGGAAGTTTTAGAGGAATCTTTTCTTACCGATACTTCTGATTTATCTATAAACAATCCGGTGCGTTTGCAACAATTTTGGGAACACGAATTAGACGTTACTTCCTTGTTTCACTTGGAGCCTACTCGTAGCGATATTTATATATAGAGATTTATTATTATACTTTAACTTATAAAATAACTATTACACCTTTCAGCCTGTCTGTATAACTATAAATTTCTCTTTGATCCTAAAAATGGTGAAATTACGAGTTTTTCAGAGGTTATTATTGTAACAGTTATTATATGTATAATTTCTCTAAAACAATTTACGTTTTCAGGAACTTTTAGTCGATCCATCTGAAGCAAGCAGTTCTTGTTCTCTTTTAAGAGCTCCCAGCCGCGCTCAATATTTCGTTAAAGGAACTTCAGAGCAATTACCCTTTCTTCCTGGTCTTTATATTATATCTTATTAAATATTATCAATATATTAATTATTTGTCTATTAATTTTATTTTACCAAAAATAATCTTTTAATTCTTTTTTCTATTAAGTAAATTTATTTTATAATTTGGACTTATAAATAATAAACTTAAGCTACACACCTATTTCAGTAAAGTTCTGGATGTCTATTATATTATTCAATATTTAGTTTGTTAGAATTGTACGGCTATTCAAAATTGCTAAGTTTTTTATGATATTAATTATAATTTTATTAGTATATTGCAAAACTTGTAGTAGTGCACAATTTTTTAATAACTTTTTTAATCAAAAATAGTTATGCATTTGTACTGCTAAGTTAACTTTACAAAATTTACAAACAATGTTTCATTTTAATTTAACAAAAAACATAAAGTTTGAAAGTTACTATAAAGTATTTTATAAATTAATTTTGTATTAATTATCCTATAATATAGTTCTAGCTGAACTGTACCTATTAACATTAATTTGCGAAAAATAAAATTTATAATAATTTTTTTAGTAACTATTTTTAACTAACTTTTTTTATTTTGAAGTAATAAATGTTATCTTCTTGTAAAGGATCGATTAATTACTATAAATTTCACCTTTTTATAATTTATTAAAACAAAATACTTTGATTCAATAATTTTTTTTATCGTAAATTTTAAGAAATTATTTGAAGCTTTTTCTGTTAATTTTTATTTAAATAAAAATAATAAATGTTAAGCGTTCAAGTGGATTCTTTAAAAAAAAGTATTTAATATATTTTTTATATTTAGTATATTTTATAATGAAGTAAACTTTTAGAATTATCAAAAATTTCTTTAAACTTAATAATATTTATTATTGATTTTTATAAATAATTACATTAATAATTATTTTTAATTATTTATTTGTAGGAGGAATGGCACAGCCTGAGAGTAGAGTTTGCGCTCCCAAACATGAAAATTCTAAATTTGAAGAGTTCAATTTTGACGATGGTTTTATATTTATATTAACTCCTAAAACTTTTTACTTTACTTTATATTATTTCTTTGATTAAATTATTTTAAATCAACTTTTATACTTTCAACTTTGAACTATTAATTAATTTAAGATTATAAATTTTTTCTATTAACACCTTAAATAAATTTTATTGTAATTTTTTTTTCTTGATATAAGTTCTTGATTACCAATTTTCGTTACGTAAGTTTTTTATAAATAGAGTTTGTTAAAATTATAGTATAAAAATACTAATGAAAGTAAATTAACTTAACTTTTATTTTATTATTTCTACTACCTTTGCGATTGTTGACTAAAATTTAATAACATTAAAATTTTTTAAAGAAAAGGAATTTATTAATTCTTATTGCGCTTTTTTATAAAAGTATATAAAAAATTTCAAATTATTTATAATAATTATTAATTTCTATTGAATCTATTTGGCCCAAATGAACCAGCAGCCAATAATACTACCTAACTATTTATTATTGACTACACTTACACGCACCCATTTTTATTAACCAATGAAATATGTATTTATTGCGCTTGAATTAGTAAGTGATGCCTTTTACTTAAAACTAAAGAGTTATTGGTCTTCCCTCCGGGCTTCCAGCATGGACTGGTTTTTGATAAGCCAGACTCTCCCACGTGGCGGCTGGTATTATTATAATAAAAATAAAAACTCTTTCTTTAACATAAATGTATTTAATTCTTATTAACGTTATTATTATTTTAAAAAGGTCGAAAGTGCCTCACGTGGAACGCCACCCTCAACCAGTAATCATATAATGAAAAGTGAAGACAATGTGTTTGTGTTTACATTAGAAGAAGTTTATATTTACTATTTTTTATTTATATAAAAGTTATGATATTTGTTGTATGGATTTATTTATTTGTTACTGTTTATATCTATTATTATTAGTTTTCTGTTGAACTTTATATGCTTGATATATATACTTTTTTTATATTTATTATCAGTTTGTTTATAATATATTGTATTTTTTCTATTTTTTTAAACTTTTTATTACTTTTTATTCCTTTTGTTTTTATTATTATTATTACTATTTTATCATAAACTTTGTATCCATCTATTATTAATGTTTTTCTTTTTACTCTTAACTTTTCTTTTTTATTAATTTGTTTATAAAGGAAAAAGTCGAATTTACTGAGGATAATGAAACCATGAACATGAACTTAACTATCACCAAAGATGATGAAAGTTATGAAGAGCTTAAAAGTTTTTTAAAGGTGGAGGTTATTTTCTTCGTCTTTTGAAAATTATGAACTTGTCTTATACTTCTTATTCGTATATACTTATATTATATATTTTTGACATTCCTTCTTATTTTATATTTTATATTATATATTTTTTTATATTATTGTTCTATATTTAAAATATTTATTTACTATATATTTTTAATGTTTTAATAATTACTTGTATATTTTATATTTATTTACCATACACTTTTAACATTTACTACTATTATTTGTATATTTTATGATTATTTATTTTATATCTTCTGATAGTACTGGTATATAAATAATAAATATTCATTTATTTAATATTTTTGATATTACTGTTATTATTTATATAACATATTTAAGTATCATATATCCTTTATTGTTATTGCTTGTATTTTAATATATAATCGTCTTATAACTTTAATAATAATTATTATCTGTAAGACTACTTCTCAGCCAACTTTGCTAAGTAAAGAACTTTTAGCCGAGCAGTTCGCGGAAGCGGTTGATATTACGAAAACTGTTCCCGATTTTTACACCAAAGTTCCTGACTTAGCGAAAACGGTTGAACTATTATCATTATTCCAGTATTTTTATTTTTATTTACTATTATTAGAAATATTGTAACTACGATTATGATTAGTTATTATTATTTTTACCTTATAACTACTTATAACTATTACTTATTATTTCTGTAAAAGTATCCTTTTGAACTCGATACTTTTCAAAAGCAAGCTATTCTTTGCTTGGAAAATCACCATAACGTTTTTGTTGCAGCTCATACTTCTGCTGGTATTATTATTATTTTGTGGTAGTTATTGTTATTATAATTATAATTAAAGGAAAAACTGTAGTGGCTGAGTACGCTATAGCTTTATGTCAAAAGCATATGACAAGGTTATAATAAAAATAAATAATAGTAAACATTACTAAGGATACAAGATATAATAATAATTAGTATTTAATAATAGGAATAGTAGTACTAAAATAAATAGTATATAATTATTCCCATAATTAAATATTAATAATTATTAATAGAAATTAATATAATTTCAATAAATAATAATAATAATTGCAGGGCGATCTACACTTCTCCTATTAAAAGTTTATCAAACCAAAAGTTCAGGGACTTCAAAGTTTGTATAATCATTTATTATTATAACTATTATAATTATTATTATTTAGAACATTTTTGAAAACGTTGGCATTCTTACTGGAGACATTCAGATAAACGCCGAAGCCAGTTGTCTTATTATGACCACTGAAATTTTAAGGTTCTCATTCACATGTTTTTAATTGGTCAGAAGATTTACAACTGCCAATAGTAAACGATATTTTGAAAGGAAGAACAAATTTATTAGAAACTATAATTATAATTATTATTATTATAATCTTATAATACCTAATATATTTTGTAGTTTTTTTACGTTATTAAATTTTTTATAGCCCTGTATACTTTAAACAAAGAAGACTTTAAATTACCGCAATAACAGTAAAAAATATATTATATACATATAATAGTAAAATAAACTGTATAACTGCGAATTCACACTTGTACAAAATGTATTATAAAGTTGCTTATGTTTATAGTCAAGTAAAAACTTTTATTTTCAAATATTCTGTTAATGAATATTTAAATAGTATAGCTTTTTTAATTTTTAATTATGCAACCTTACATATTTTTATTTGCATCCACTAAATTTACTCCAATGGTACATTACCGATAATTGCGCGCGCAGTTGAAAGTTAGATTCTTTTAAGACTGCATGTACATACCATGTGGAAACCAATGACAAAGCGCGTATACAACCATAAAATAGCTTACTTGTTTAACATCTTCTGGGTGTAGTGCGAAGTAAAAGTTCTACTCCGTCTTCTTTTCATTATATAATATCAAGGCGCCTATAGTTAAATCGAGCACTACGCGAAGTGGGGATCTAGAATAACACTTTTAAGGAAAACTTTATATTTTAATTTATCTAACTTATTATTTTAAGATCGATGCTTTATAGAGGAGCCGACTTAATAAGAGACGTTGAGTGGGTTATCTTTGACGAAGTGCATTACGTGAACGATGTCGATGTGCGTTATTTACTATATATTAAAGAGATGATTGGTCTAATTATTTATTTACCCAACCATTTCATAAATATGTGAGCCTATTTAGTAATTAAGTTTACGCTATTTTGTCTATTCCTTAGCGATTGGCTATTATACCCTCATTAATATCTTATTGGTTATCTTTAAATTGCATATTTTGTTTTTTGATCTAAATATTCGTTGGTTGGATTTTTTATAAAGTTTTCTGATCAATTAAATATTATTATCACTTCTATTAGTTAACTCTGTTAATGTAACTTCTAAGTGCTTTATATGATTAACGATTGGTCATTTTATAAATTGTTATGAGAGATAAAGTCTTATAAAAACTTTTATTAAATATTATTAATGATTGCTGTGTTATTGTTATGTGGTTGGCTATTTATACATCCACATTACATATTACAATTTATTGGTCGACCTATAATCTGTATTATATATTATTAATTTTTCCTTAATTATCAATTTATTTTAATGTCTCTTTTCATTTGCTTTCAATATTTTTTCTTTTATAGTTATGCTTTAATAAATAAAAAATAGTTAAAAAAATTAATTTTTTTATGAAAGCGTGGAGTGGTCTGGGAAGAAGTAATAATAATGCTTCCTGACCACGTGGGTTTGGTGATGCTCTCCGCTACCGTCCCCAACACAATGGAGTTTGCTCAATGGATTGGGTAATTATTATTATCATCATTATTTATTATTTTTTATTGTTATTGAATAGTCAAACGAAGAAAAAAAAGGTCTACGTTATTTCCACTTCTCAAAGACCCGTTCCATTGGAATATTATTTATTTACTGGTAGACCATTTTTCATTGGTTTATCTGCCAAATTATATATAATATGAGTGGCTTATAATGAGGACCTGTCCTTCCCACACGAAAAGACGTTAACATAAAATACTCCATTGATCAATCGCTACATAAATTTATGAGTGCCACCAAAGAAATTTTAAATCACGGGTTTTACTTGTTTTACAAAATTTGTTAATTTGTTGAATTTTTATTTTATATACCTTGGTTGAATGTTTCATAAGTTACTATTGAGCTTTACAAAATTACTGGATAACCACTTCTATATTATTTATTTCTGTTGTCCAATTACAGAAGCTCTGCTAGAATGTATCTAAAATAATTTTTCATTGGCTACTTATTATTAACGTTTTAAATATTGCATTTCTTCATTTTTTTCCACTTTGATAGGCTGCTTTATCACTATATTTTTATAATTTAAAAGCTATATGATAACCTTTCTCAGCTAAATAACCCCGCATTTGGAGATTTATTTTGTTTCCGTTTGTATACTTGTATAAAATCCCTAAAAATATTTTATTATGCTTTCTTAATAAAAAATCATTAAAAAATGCTTACTTTTTTCAGCTACGAAAGCGCCAAACTGGCGGTGGCTCCGCCGGCCAAGAAAACAAGCTCAAAATTTGGACCAGTTTCTGGTGTGACCGTTGTTTCCAATCCCCAATCGGTAACCGCCTTTAATTATTTATTGCATGCATGATTTTCTTTTCCATTGGTTGTTATTTTTTTATTAATTTTACTTTTTATGAAAATCTCAAAAAAAGTATTAATTTTGGTTACTGTTTTTTATTATTATTTTATTTATATATAATTTTTATATATTACATATCTACTTTGTATGTTTATTATATTTACTTATTATTTGGCTCACTACAGGATAAAAATTTATATATAAGTCTCGTTAATGTGCTTGAAAAACACATTTTAGTTCCAACTGTGATATTCACTTTCAGGTTTACTTATTATTATTATGATTATTACTATGACTCATTTATTATATTATTAGCAAGAAGCGCTGCGAAACGAATGCATCAAGTATTATTAGTAAGAATTTTACAGATGCCTCCGAAAAAAGTCATATCAAAGTTTTTTTTGATGCAGCAATGAAGCGCTTAAACGGTTCATTAGTAAATATTCTCAATAAAAAGTAATCTTAAAAAATTAATAAATATATCAGCTCAACAAAATTAATTATTAAAAAAAATGACTTTATAATACTCCAATAATATTAACTTAATTACCAATAGAGAATGACCGAAAACTTCCGCAACTCAAACAAACGGAAGCTTTTCTTATGAAGGGGATTGGCGTGCACCATGGTGGGCTCCTTCCTATATTAAAAGAAGTATTTATTTACTTTTATTTATAAAGAAAAAATCTTTCATCTTTTTTTATGAATATGCTACAAATGCACTACTTGCTATTTATAGATTGTGTTTTTTTTATATCATAAAAGTTCACTGTTCGTTAGCACCAGCCAATGAACTATTTTTTTTCTAACAATGATATGTTTAATTTTTAGTGCCAGGTTTATATTATTTTTTTATTTATTAGTTATAGATTTTTTGATTGGTGGAATTATCGTTTTATAAAAGTTTTATGGTAAATACATTTTAAATTCCACTCTTCTAATGAATATTTCTGTTCACATAAATTACGGTACATTTTGTAAAAACTTCCGCTATTTATTAAAAGTTTTGTCGCCAATTGTAAAAATTATTATCATCCTATATTATAGTGACCTGAGAATGTTTTAAAAGAATGCACGTAAAATAATGAACTTTATAGCAATTTTTAGCATTTATAAAACTTTTATGAAGTGAAACGTTAATTACATCTTTCAAAAGATAATGATGTTTTACTATTAAATTATAACTTACTTTATTGGTTATTTCATTTCATTATATTTACTTTATTCTTTTTAAAAAGTAATATAACTCAGGATTTAGTTATTTTATTACCTCATTTTTCTATATATTTATTATTAATGTTTTAAGATTGTTGAAATATTATTTTCTCGCGGTCTCGTGAAGATTCTATTTGCAACTGGTTCATTACTATTTTTATATTTTAAAATATTATTCATTATTATATTCATCACTTATTATCTATGTCATGTTAACCTTTACTATACATTTTCAAAATTTACTTTTTTATACAAGATATTTATGCTATTTTTTTGTAATACGAAATTTATAATTTTCTATTATTTTTTATATTTTTTTATAACTTTTCATTATTTATTTTTTAATATATACGCATAATTTTTTTATATTTATCATTTTACCAACCTTTTATTCATTATTATTTATTGATTTAACAGCATTACTTATTTTTTTTTAATTTGTTTATAGAATTTTTATTTGTTACTAGTTTGTAATATATATTTATAAATTTTTCTAGAGTGATTATTATTTAATTCATTATAATAATAATTATTTATTATTATTATTTTATTATTATCAAATTTCATTAAGTTTTTATATAATAATTTTATAACGTTTATTTATTATTGAATTTATTTTTAAACATATTTAACCATAAATATTATTTTCAGCTATTTTTATAATACAATTGTAACTCACTGTTACTTTTTTAGTACATCTTTATAACTTTATTATTATCTAAAATCTATTTTTAACTTTTATATATCCCTATTTATATAAATTCATATATTTTAATACTTAATTTATTTTTAATTTTGTTATCTTTTTTATTCACATCATCTTAACTTTATTCTTTTCTCTATTTTATTCTTATTTATTTTTATTTTTATTATTACTTTATATTAATAATATGTTTAAATTTTATTAATGCATTTGTGTTCCTTTTTACTACTATATTTTATTTACCGTTTATTGTCTTTAAAAATATATTATATTTTTATTGTAATTTTTATAAGAGTATAATACTTATAATTATTATCTACTTATTATTTATTATTACTAAAGTGACATCTATTATTTATATTATTATATTTTTACGTTATATATTAAAGTTTACCATTTGAATTTTCTACTAATACACTAATCATAAGACGTCGAGAGCACAATTGATAAAACAACATTTTAGTGGAAGTGCACGTGACATTTCTCCTTTGACTGATTTAATAAGGCCTCAGCGATTGGTGCTTAAACATTCATTCGATACCAGTGGGAGAGAACCGCGCGTAATAAGTATTGGAAGTGCTTTCAAGATGCTTTATAAACCAAAAGTTGATATGGGTTGTCAGTTGGCCAATCAATATAAACGTTTACCTCACGTGTTCTTTGCGATCTTTATTTGGTTTTAAAAAAGTGAATCTCGCTTAAGCAACCAATAGAAGGCATGTTAAATTTTTTGCTAATAATTATTGGCCCATGTTAAATAGAATGAACTTGTACTTAACGAGTTTTATGGCGCGTAGATGTGTAGCCACCTGACACTGGACTACAATAAGGTCTAGAGCGTGGATTGAATTTTTTTAAAGAACAAAAGTGGACTTGCTTTGACCAATGAGAGTGCACTTGTACTTCCAAGGACCAAATTTAACTTCGGCATTTCTTACGTAAACAGTAAATTAAGCGCTTCTTTAGGCATTTTTGTAGTACTTGAGGTGATTTTGCATCAAATTATCTCATTCTCCTATATTGCACGCTTTTATTTGATAAAAAGTTTTTCATAAGTGGCAACCAAAAGCACCTAAAAGCATGCACCTCTACATGTTCTTGTTATTTAGTCTTTTTATTATATTCTGCTCGATTTTCATTTTTTTTATTCACAATTTTCATTTTTTTTCCCCCTTTTTGAATAATTTTATTATTTTTAATAATTAAAAGGTATTACTACTATACTAATATATAATTCTATATAGAAACTTTTGCGATGGGCGTCAACATGCCCGCCCGTTCGGTACACTTTATATTTATATAAAGAATAAATAATAGTTTTTACAAGTTGGTGTTCATAGCACGTATACTCATCAACATGCTGAGTGTTGCTTTTGGTGACCAATCATTGCCATTCGTTATGCGCATTATTACTAAAACATAAATTCCGTTTATTTTTTTTTTTAATTTATATTATTATTAAAAAGTTTTTTCTATACTGCTGTTTATAATATTTATTAAGAATATTACCTTTTTATAACTTATAGATGCTTACCTAGTATTTACGTTTGTATTTATGTTTGTATAAAATATAACTTTACGTCATTATTAGTATTTCACTAAGTTCTACTTGAGATAAATTTTATGTTGTTTTGTACTTTATACATAAATCCAGCATATACATATATATATTTTTAAAATTAACTTTGTTTTTATTATTTTTATATTTCGGTTATAATTATTTTTTTATACTATTTGAATAATTTTTTTAACATTTTACTTTTCAAATTATAATAATATTTTTATTTATTATTAATTCTTTTTTTCTTTTAATGTGATTTTTAAATAAATATTATATTTCTCGTAAAATATATTATTTTATGCTTTATTTTAATTAAATATATAATAATTCTTAAAAATTATATATACTTTTTTTTTAATATTATCCTTGAGTTGCCATTTTTTTCTATCAATTCTTGGATGTATTTTTTGTTATTAATAAAAACTTGTTTATTATTATTATGAAATTATATATTATATTTTTTATAAATAAATTATTATTAAACGTAACAAGCTAAACTTTTTTTTTCGTTCAGGTGGTGTTTGACTCGATTCGAAAGCACGATGGAAACGAGTTCAGATATTTACTTCCTGGTATTGGCTCATTCTTAATAGTAATATATAAATAAATAGTTTCTTGTAGGAGAGTTTACGCAGATGGCTGGACGAGCGGGCAGACGTGGACTGGACTCTACAGGAACAGTTATACTAATTTGCAAAAATAATGAAGTTCCCGAAGTTCGTAATAATAATCATAAATAATAACAACAATTAAATAAATATTACTCGATATATAATAAATAAAATGAAGAAAAATTTAAAACTTTTGTATAGTAAAAGTATTTATATAAAAAAGTTTATTTGTGGACATTAAGGAAAAAATAAATTTATGATAATAGCAATTGTAGTAAATAATCTTATCAATTATTATAACCAAGAACTTAATAATAATATATAAAATTTAGAAAATATTTATGGATTTTTAAATGGAAATCAGTCATACTAACTAATAAAAGCTATATAAAACTTTTTATAATAACCATTATTTTAAAAATACAAATAACGCGAAATAGTAAAACATATATAAAACTAAAAACTTAATAATATTACAAAAGTTTTAAATGCTAAATAACAAATTTTTATCGAATCTTAAAAAAGTTTATTGTAATAGTGATTAGAATTTTTTAGAAAAGTTTTAAAAAAATACCTTTTTAATAGTTATTTTTAAAATTTTTTTACATTAGTTATAGTAACATAAAAAAATAATAAAAAAATGCTTTTTTTAATGTATATGATGCACAAACTTTGAGTTTTTGCAAAAAGTTTAATAATAATACTAATACTTTTAGAATATAGGATAACTGATTATATAAAAGTTCATAAACTTATCTATGAAATTTTGATAATAATAATTTATATGAAATAGTGAAAATATCACTACACTTTTTGTGGTATTAAATAAATAACAATAGGGAATTAAAAATCCTATAAGAAAACATTTAATAAACAAAAAAAATTTTCTAAATAAAGATAACTTGGCCAACTACCTTAACAGAAATCCTCACTGAGTCTTATGATGACCGGAAAACCCACGAAGCTCGTGTCTCAATTCCGATTGGCTTACAATATGATTATAAACTTATTAAGAGTTGAAGCTTTTGTACGATATTTTATATTGGAATCTCCACTATTTATTTGCTTTTTTTATATACTTATACTTATATTTTTTATTTTTTATTCATTACTTTTCGGATATACTTCCTTTTCATATTTTATTAATTTTATATTTTATCAGGTTTCTTTATATACACTATTTATTTATATTTTATAAATTTTTTGTATACAGAAAGTTGAAGATATGATGAAGCGCTCATTTTCTGAATATTCAACCCAAAAACAGGCGCCCCAGCACGAAAAAGAAATTAAAAAAGTATAACTAAATACAGTGAAACCACTTTTTCATAATATTTTTAATATAAATTTGCATGACACTTATTTTATTAAAAAAAGAGAAAAGGTTTTGTTATAAAACCTGAAAATTTCATTGTTTTTCACGAATTATATAACCAATCGTGAATACTTTTTTTACGTCCCATTCTCTAAATGGTCTATTTGTTGGGCAACACATTTAAATTGGATTATTGCAGAGAATCGTAAGTACTATTATTTCTGCAAGGCACGTGATTAAGCCGAGGTTACTAGTATTGGTTTCTGCAATACGATTTTTCATCTGATTGGTCCATGACTGATCATAACTTTAATACTATTTTTTGTGCTTCACATGCTTAAATTTTTTTATGGCCCCTAAGATATTTAATTGCTTCCCTTTCTCCTATTGCTCCACTTAAATTGTTTTTTTTGTATAGTCCCAACTCCTATTGGCTAGTCTAGAAGCCATCAACTGCTCTAATTGTACCGATCTGAATGACCTCTACAACGTTATTATTATCGATAATAACACGAATTCTTATTCACTATTTTCTTTGTAAGGCGAACTGCCAATTACATTTAATCAGTCCGGAAATACATTCCACTCTTTTTATGAGTAATCAAGCTAGTAAAGTCCTTTCCAGCGGAAGAGTTATAGTGTTGGTTCGTCACTGTTATTATTATTCTAATTCTTACTTTTATTATTGTATTATAATAATTACTGTTTCTATTAAAAACTTTTTTTATTTATTAGTTTTATATTATAATAAAATTTTTTGTTGTATTATTATTTCCCTAAAAAAATATTAATTTTTTAGTTTGGTGAATGAAACTTCTAAATATTAAATCGTATTTATAATTACTTATTTCTATATATTTTGTATTTAAATTATTCTGATTACATTCTGTATTAGTTTTTTATTTAACACTTTATATAAACAAAATTTCTATAAAATATAAAGAAATAATTTTTTTGAAGTTTTTTTCTATTTCATTTAAAAAGATCTGTTATAGATAAATACACAACTAATAAATATATCAAAATTCTAACTTTTAAGCGTGGTCTTTATATTATCTTATTGGTCCATCTTATTAGAACTATAAATTTTTTGGCCAATGGGATTTAGAATTTACTTGAATTTTTATATTAATTAATTTTAATTTTAATAAATTCTGTTTTTCATATAATTTTTATTTATTTTTTACTTATTAATTAATATTTTCATTTGCTTTAGCGTTCGTTTAATACAGTCGCTTGCGTGCTAAACTTTTCAATAACACGTGCAATTCCTCAAATCAAAGTTCTTATTTTTCGGAGCAAAGACTTTTCACGTTTATTATTATTAAAATATTTTAGAAAGTTCTTAATTTTCTATTTGTCATGAAAATCTTCATGTTTATTTCTTCCCCATTGTCGTTCTTATTCCCTTATTTATTTCATAGTCGCTCCGGTTATCCCTCTTCCGCGTGTCCACGCACCGCCAAGTTCCGCTCATAATGAAGTTCTCACCATTCAAGCGCGGGACGTCTTGGTGGTCACCAATCACAAGATTCGGGTTGTTCATAACCACTTTTTGTATTAAAAAGACCCGCTATCTTAATATGGGTCAATTTAAGCATTGTTATTATCGCTATTAATTATTATTATTAAAGTTTGGAGCAGAAAAACTTTTTCAATGCAAAAAGAACGAGGAATTCAAAAGGGTTTATGATTTACTTATGAAACTTTTCGGCGCCTATCCAAATGGTTATTATTATTATGATTATAATTATTATTAGTCATATAATTATTATGAGGCTTTGAACTTTTGAACTATAAAAAAGACTTCAAAGTTTCCGAGTTTTATTTGTGTGAAAAAGTGTTGCGGTTTGAAGAATTATATTATTCACTATCAAACTTGAAGTTATTACTACTGTTGTTATAATTATTACATTGTTTATTATAATAAATATCATTCCTCAAGTTGTTTGGCTTGCTCTGAACTTTTCAAGCATTATAATGAATATTTCCAACGAAAGTCATTGGAAGAAAAAATGGACTTTTTGCGCTTTTCTCTTTCGGATCAAAACTTAGCTTTACTTCCGGAATATCACCAGCGAATCAGAGTTCTACAGAAAGTTTATGATTTTAATTGTGATAATAAACCTTATCAATGTTATATTATTTCTTATTTTTAGTTGTTTTACTTTATTTTTTTTATTATACACTTTATTTTATTATGTTTTATTGTTGTACTTGTTTATTATTATTTTTGAATTAACTTTTTCTTTATATGAATATTTGTATATATAAATTATTGTATAATAATAGGCTATTTTTTTTGATGCTCTTGTTTTATTCATATATTTCTGAATACTTCGTATTCTACTTTTTTTCAAACTTTACATGTTCATTCCTTTTATAAATTTTTAATAAATATTTTTATCAATATATCTTTAATTACGATGTTTTATTTTTTTATAATTGTATTTTGTATATATTTTCCTTCATGATACTATTTATTGTTTCTAATTTATTTAGAATTTGGATATTTTTTATTTTAATTATAATTTAATATATAATATAGTAATAACTATTATAGTGACAATATTTTCTAGTAAATATTTATTATTCTACTGAATAAACTAAAATTCTACACTTTATTTTTTATTTTCTGTTCAGCTGAATTATATTAATGAAGATTTGGTTGTCCAATTGAAAGGCAGAGTCGCCTGCGAAGTCACCACGTGCGATGAGCTTCTTGTGACCGAACTTATTGTGAATGGCGTCTTCTCCACTGCCCCGCCTGAGCATGTTTATTCCTACTATTATAACAATTAACTTTGTAAAGCTTAACTTATGGCTACTAGTGCTTTTTTTTAGTTACTTAAAGAAGTATTGTAGAGTTTTACTAACTACTCTTCTTATTTGTTTTACTTAAACATGTAATTTATATTATACTCTTATTGTTTTGTTTACTTTGTTTTTATACATTCATATTTTCAATATCTCTTATAATCGTTCGCTTTACTTATTATTGTATGTACTTTGCTATTATTTATTATTACTATATTAGCTATGATTACAATTTTCTTTCTCACTAATTTTACTTTTCTATTATATTGTTTTTAAATATTTTTACGTATTCTTATTACTTGCAAATTGTTGTAATTATTTTATTTACATTTTATGTATGACTTGATTAACTTTAATAATTTTGAATTATTTATTTACATATTATTTGTTTTACTATATATCTTTTCCGAGTGAGTTCTACTTTATAGTATATATGTCGTATTTTCTTTTTAAGTATATTCCATTGATATTATTTTTTTTCTTTAGAGCGTAATTTACTTTTGTTGTTATTTTTTGTAAAGATTGTCGCGTTATTGTCCTGCATGGTATTTCAAGAAAAAAATGCTTCTCAGCCAATCCTCTCTCCCTTCTTATTAAAAGGCAATTACTGTTATTTATAACACGTTTTATTAGCTATTACTCGTATATATATGATTATCAGGAAAAGAGGAAGTTTTAAATATTGCAACTGTCATTGCAGAAACACAACTTGAATGCGGATTGGATATCCCAGTGGACGTCTACTTGGAGCAACTAAATTTTTCGCTGGTAGAAGTGGTCTACCATTGGGCGAGAGGAATGGTCGCCAGCGTTACTTAGTTTTTTTATTTAAAATTTCAATATTACTATTGTTAGTCTATTAAAAACTAAGTAAATAATAATATACATTTATATAATTGAAAGTAATAAAAAACGATAAACAAATAAGAGACAGTAATAACTAAAAAAAAATAATAATAAAGCTTAATAACTAATTATGAATAATAAATATAATAAAAGTTAGTAAAGAATAGTGATATTATAAGAATAAAATTATTTTATAATAACAATGGCCAACATACGATAAATAAAAAAAATAAAAAGTGATTAAGTCATGCATAAATAGACCTTTGAAAAGTTTTCAAGTATTTATTATATTCTTAAAATGTTAACTATTATGATAATATTAGTAAACTTTAATTAAATATATATTTAAATTTAACTTTTTATATTATGAAATAGTATACACTTTTTATTTATTAACATTCTTCCAATTTTTTCAATTATTACTATTATATTTAAAGTAGACTTTATAAATATTATTTATCTATTTAATACTTTTTTACTTATTTTTATTATTGCTATATTGTTATTTAATTATACCAAAAGTATACATTTGGAAAATAATTTATACATTGAGTAAACTTTTTTAAAGTTTCATTACTTATAAACTATTATATTTATTATTGTTATCATTCTTCTAATATTATTTATTTGTACTAATCATTAATACTGTTGTTACTATTTATATATCTTCTTTCTTAAGTTCTAAGATATATTTGAAAGTTATTATATTTTTTTAAAAAAGTTTATATAATATTATTATTTAGCCGTTTTCAGAAATAACAGAGCTAACGGAAGTTCAAGAAGGCTCGATTGTTCGGTGCATAATGAGACTAGACGAAACGTGCAGGGACGTCCGTAACGCCGCGAGGTCCTTCATAAAACTTATTTACTATTATTATGCATGTATATATGTATTCGTTTTTGTATTTGAAACAGTTTAATTTTTTTTTAATTTACTAATTATACTTGCCTTTTTAATAAGTACTAGTGTGTAGGAAATCTATCAAATTAACAAATAAACTTAAAGTTTTATTATTTTATAACGAAATTATTATAAATTTATTATGAACTTCTATTGTATGTAAAATAAAAACTTTATAGTAATTTTATATACTTCTTACTCCATAATTAAAATTTTAATATATAAACATTTATTAAACATTATAATATATATTTTATGGAAATTTTGAACAAGTATATATAATTTTTACTTTATTTTTTTATAAAATTATTATTGTAAACTTAGTAACTTATTATTTTCAACTTCTATTTTTTAATAATTTTGTAAATTTTTTTTAATAATTTTAATTCACTTATAAGTTTATTTAAATTAATTTTTTCCTAAAATTTGAAATTTACTTTTATTTTAAGTTATTTGGCAAAAAAAATAATTTCGTAAATTATTTTTATAATATACTTTTACACGTTTTACTTTTTATATATTTACTAATTTATAATAACTGATATAACTAACTTATGTTAAATAGTAGTAATGTACTTTAATTAAAGTTATTTTGGTAAGGAAATAATTTTCATTTTTATTATTGTAAATTTAACTTTTTATTTCATTTGTTATTATAGCTTTATGATTAATCTATTTTAGAATTAATAATCTACCTTTATTATATTTTCTTATTTCAAGTTACATTTTTTAATGTTTACTAATAATTAAAATCTTTATACATTTCGGTAACTAATTTTCGCATAATCTTTTTATTCCAGTTTACTTTAGTGAATTGTTGTAATCGTTAATTTTTTTTATAATATATTTATTTTTAACATTAAATATTTACTTTTAATTTCTATTTGTTTGCTAAATTTATATAATTCGTGAAAGGAGGAATTTTCATAAATTTAAATGTTATATTACATTTTATTTTATAAATTTTACTTTTTATATATTTAAACTTTTTTTTGTAATAAATTTCTTTTTTTTACTGAATTTTGTATTAAAATTTTTTAACTTTTAATTGTTTTTTTTAAATTTTATTTACTACTCAACTATAATAATTTGTATTAAATTTCTATCATTAATTAATTTTATAAATACATAGTTTACTTCCTATTTATTTTTTAATTATATACCTTTTCTAAATTTTAGTCTACTAAAATTTGTTACTAATTTCATCTCCTTGTAACATGTAGAGTAATAGGGGACCCTTTGCTATACGAAAAACTCGAGCAGTCCTCAGCAATGATAAAAAGGGATATCGTTTTTGCTGCAAGTTTATATACCTCTCAATAACATATTGCTATATTCAAATATTAAAATTTATTTATAAAATTTTTGGAAATCATTCATTAACATTTTTGAATTACTCATGTATGAAACTTAATGATTTTGCACTTCCTTAAAAAAAATAGTTAATTTTATTCATAAAATGCCTAGAGTTAATATATCTATCCGACCAATGCCCCCACGCAGGTCGCCCCGCAGCCGCAGGGTTCTCTAATTACAATGTGTGATAGGACCCGTCAATAAAGGGTTCCATTAACATAGTGAATAGCAAGGCGCTGTAAGAAGAAACGAATACAAAAATGGTTTATTCAATTAATACATATAAATTCTACACTAACAAGTGAAACAACGTAAATGAAGTTAACATTCCCCATTTCTCTTGTACCGCCTTTTTGTTCCTGCTTTAAATCAATGAAAAACTTTGCAAACAGTAACAGTAAAACTTACTAATTAAATACGTACATTTGATAATTTTCAAATGTAGGTGTTTTAATTTCTAAATTATTAACTATTGAATAAGATGTTATACTTTTATTCTCTACTCTTTTTTTTTGTTAGTCCGTTGCTATAATACACTTCACTATACTCGCACTACCGGCGCTTCTTATCTTCAACAGCACAGGGGTTTCTTGGGCTGTCGTGGCAGCTGCACATGGTGAGGAAGGTCAAGGCGGCTACTAACGCGCTCTAGCCCATACTTTGCATGAGCGAACTCTGTATGTACTGTGCAATCGAATAGTCATGATGCGCGTTGTCGGGCACAGTGACCTGCTGACAAGTAAGCTTACTTTCAAACCTTGCTACGACGCCATGCCACCCTTGTCCCACCAAGGATGGTGTTAATAGGCTGGTGACTTTAGCAATAAATCAATGTATGCGGCCATTCCTGTTCGAGAGCTCGAGTATTCGAAGTTTGTGGACTTGAGTGAGGATAGGGGAAAGTCATTTACTAATACGTAGCCGAGTATACTTGGAATTGACTACAATAAATACAGTGCTACCACGTGTTACACTACTTCGTTGCTACCAAACCACACAACAAACCGCGTACCTATGTAGTACGTGTTATGGTAAGCTCCCAGTAAATCACGTGCGCTACTAGATCACGGTACCTCGCGTGCCATCAAATCAAGTGATTTCCCTTATTACTCCCAAGGAACTAGTCACGTGTCATCACACGGTAAAGTCACTGCAGTAGCAATCACCCTCAACTGCTCTGCTTAGCCCAAAATTCGGTAGATAAAAGTATTTTGTATTTTTAATAGTTTATTGTATTTAATTTTGTTAGAATTTATACTAACTTATTTATAAAATTTTAATTACGGTTTCCATATTTATTTCGGAATAGACCAGAATTTGTATTGTTGACTCATTTAATGTTTTAAGATATTTATAAAAAAAAATTATTTATTTAAACGAGCCAAAAACTTATACAGCAGAAGGCTAATTATGAAAACTAACTTATTGGGAGAAAAAGAAAGTTAATATGGCGAAGTTTTCAAACCAAGTCAGCTTATCTAAAAAAACTATTAACAAAAATTAACACCTATTATAAAATTATTTAATAAAGAACGAATAAATATGCTAACAATGTATTTTGATTCTACTTATAGTAAGTGCGTAGGATGTGTGAAATATGCATCAGCCTACTTATAAAAAATAAAAAGATGTTAGTTTCGATATTAATTTATTTAACTAAAATTATTATAAATTTCTATTGTTATGCGCTTTTTCCTTGTTAAGTCTTTTTATATTTTAAGATTCACAAATTAAATTTCTTAAACGTGAGGCTAACCAGTCATTGAACGAGCATTAAGAAGAAACAGCTAGAAGTATTCTACAGAAACTAGTCTTACAGTGGTTCATTTTTAGTTTCTGCACTTCCTTGGTCTACAAGTGCAAAATAAATTTTTTTTTTAGTTTTTATCCAAAAGAAATCATGTACTGGTAAAATATATAAATTTTTATGTTTTCAGATTAAAGAAGTAAAATAATATTAAAAGGTAAATATAGAAAGACTTTTAAAAAAATTTATAATCTTGTGCGAAATAGTAGCCGAGCTAATAATTTAAAATTTAATAGTGAAGAAATCCGGCTTCCACGTTCTTTTAAACAAATAAATTTTTTAAACAACTACTTTAATAAAAAATATTAAAAAAAACTTACCAAAAATTAATTCTATAGTTATGAAGTGTGTTTCTTTTTAAAATCCTTTATAGTATAAAACAAAGTAATTATGTAAAAACAACCAATAACTTCATACCTCTTTTACTTCTAGTGGGAAACTGTCAAGGTAAGCAGAAGTGCAGTTATTACAAAACCGTCTTGAATAAAAAATACTACAATCTAAAAAGTAAAAAGTAAAGGGCGACTTATAAAAGAACTAAATTTGAAAGAACTGCCTTGGCATACAGCTCTATTGCAGACAGCACAAAGAGATCCCAAAATAATATGCTTATGTGTTGTTTCAAGTTCGGAATAAGGTGAAAATATATCTTTAAGGACAAAAGCTTTTTCTAAAAGACTATTAGTTAAGTGTTATAGTATTATAAGTAATAATTATCTTCATAGCAATAGCGTGATAAAAAAGCTATTTACACAACGCGCTTTGAGACAAAAGGTGGGCGGTTTCCGTAATAATCATATTTTGCCATCAACTTACAAAGATGACACTTAAACAGTTTGTTTTCTCTAATAATTAATAAAATGATGAGTAACTTAAATATAATTTAACACAGAAAAATAAAAGATTTAGTTTTCTCTAGGGTAGTTTTTTTAGCTTAACCTAATAAATTATTATAGTTATATTTATTAGAATAAAATAATTCAATTAGTAATTAGTAATAATATTTTGTAAGGTAATTTTTTAATACGACAAAAATTGGATAACTTCATTTTGCTCATCCCCCAACCGTTTTCTATTGCTTACAAGAGCTTTACAAAAAAGTGGTCGTAAAAACGGGGCCTTCTTTATTATACTAAGAGGTCACAACTTGGAACTTCACAAAAACGAGGAGCCATCCGGATTCGAACCAGAGACCTATGGAACTGCAATCCATTGCTCTACCGCTGAGCTATAGCTCCGTGCCCTTGAGCGCCCACCTATTAAGTTTTACTTATAACTAATATATCATAGCAAAAAAGACCAAATTATACAAATGCCGATGAAAAGATGTTTTTCTATTTAACTAAGTTTCATTATATAATTAGTCTCTTTTTAATTAAAAAGAAAAGATATTTATAAGAAGAGAAGTTAGCATTTAACCATCGGGTATATGATATAGCACTCCGTGCTACTTCCTCTTTAAAAAGTGGGTTAATTAATTTTTTGGCTTTATATTAATTTGCCAAGTGAACTTAAGATCTTATGTTGTATAGCCACATAAAGCTGTATTTATTCTAATAACTAATATATATTAAATAAAGTGTCCACGCAAACTTCAAAATAAAAGCCGACAATGTACGTCACCGAGATTAACAAACGGAGAACACGATATACACAGAAATAAATTTCATTTAACTTTTTTGTGCAAGTCCATAATCACTTTGGAAGCCTTCACGAATAAAGATGTAACCCAAACTATATATGACAAACTTGATACTAAGAAAAGCGGAAGACCTGATAAAACTTTTACTAAATATAATGCTTGAAAATTTTCCATTCAGCACTTAATTACCTTGTAAAGTTAACAACTTGATATTAAACCCATGGTTATTTTTCAATAAGATGGAAAAACGCTGATGTTGTTTTTTATTACACCAGGCATTAGCAACTACCATAAAGCTTATACTTACTTTCTTGCTATGAAAAAGTAACAGAACTTAGCTTCTTTTAGGGTTATAAAAATTTGTAGACAATGAAAAACTAATTTCAGTTTATTAGTTAGAATTTGAGGTAGAGTCATTTCTCCCCCTCCAACAAATGTTAAGGTCGGTGGAAAATATAAAATACCCAGTTTTAAGTTTTTAAACATTTAAATATTTGTGAGAAGGTATAACATAAAAATGTTATATATAAAATATTTTCATGTGCATTTTTCTTATAATAGATACGAACTATAGATTTATTATTTAGCACTAGATCCTTTACGATCTGTGCAGGCATAAAACTAGCGGAGAACAAACTAGTTAGTTCATATGAATCCCAAGCATCTTCATTACCGCCTATTTTCTTTCTACTTATACAAGTTTGACAATCCTATTACTCTGCTCAAACTTTCTTGGCTTTAAATACACCAGTGATACTGTTTTTTATAGTAGCTTAACATCTTCGTCTCTTGCAATTAAATATTCGCCACCAACCTTAACTTGTTCAAGTTTCCTCAACGACGTGAAAGGCAACGCCATGCTCACCTCCTCAGCGTCAATTTGTAACAAACTAACTTGGCAAGCCCACATTAAACCCTGGCAAAAAAAATAAAAATATGACGCACTCTTTATATCTGCTAATATGGAAAAATAGTGCCCTAAACCCTTAAAACAAATTAATTGTCTACAAAGCTATTTTAGACCCGATTTATTATAACGTTAACAGGAACTGAACCGTTTCTGAACTATACTAAGAGCTTAGCCGAAAATACAACAGAACATCTAAAAATAATGGTAATGAGTTACTAACTACTTTTTAAAATAGTAATCCTGGTCAGTTTTCTTATCTACCGAAACACCTTACTACGCTAGATTACCTTAAATGCAAGGTTTTCTTGATAATATTAATCATTAATAACATTTTTTAGTAGTAATAGAAAATAATAAAAGTTATCATAGCAATTAGGACATATAAATAAAAGTTGCTATAATAATAATAAATACGTAGTTTTATTAATAAATTTTTTTAATTGTATCCATAAAGTCAGTGGAAGTTTAATCACTGTCGACCGAATTATTTTAATAAGATGTCCTCATAAAGGTAAATTTACTGTTGGCAACTTTACTTTTTCCTAGGCAGGGTTTTTGTAGGCAGCATGCAGGGAGAGACCCTGTCGTTGGGGGTGGGTGATTAAGCAAAGTTTTTCACTATTATCGACTGTAGCATACCACCTGCACCTTAATAATAATAAAAAATAATTATTTCCATACTAGCTATTTTGTATGTTTTTCATGAATTTATACTCTTTTATCATAGTTTTTAGTTATTAAAAAAGGCTAATAATAATTTTTTTTCGAATTATAAAACATTAAAACATTATTGCAATATAACAATTAGTCGGGGAGGCCTGGCTGTTAGTTACGGCCGGGGTTTCTAGAAGGCTTTCAAGTTTAAGTCAAATGGCTGTTTCCCGTTCCTTTGTGGCGGTCTCGATACTTCCTTTGAAGAATACACTAATAAACATTCCCGCTAAAACTCCTCATTAGGGGAAAAATAAATAATAAAGCGATTCGAGTCCTTTTACGACTGTCTGTTGTGTGCCAATGCCTAAAAAACAATGAAATATATTTAAAAATACAGTTTCTGCAGGAGCGCCTTTTGACTACTAGTGCTAGTTGAACAAACCTTTTATTAGTTGCAACCTCATAGCAGAAACCACACTAAGTACGACCGGACTCCAATGTTAGACTCGATTACTTAATATATAAAGAAGTTTTAATATCTACCCTGGTGGGAAATCTAAGATGAACATAAATCTTTGCTCCTGGCTTTGAAGGAGTCAAGAATGGCTTTGATAAAAGTGCAGTCGAGATTAGGTATCTCAAATTAAGATGCCCAGGAAATCTTTTTTACTGCTTTAAACATTTGATTAGTACGCATTACCATCTTTTCAACACAACTTTAAAGACCTTTATGAAACAAGTATCCGCAGGCAGTGACTTTTTTCACAAAAGGTGTCTCAACGGTAATAATTGAGAGTCAGTTAACCTTTTAACAAAAAATGCTGTGGTTTGACTCGGAAGACTTCATCACTGTCTCGTTGAAGTTTGCTGTGTAGCCTATAAAGAGTTTTTATCTATTAGCATAATTCTTTGGTATAAAAAATTAAATAGTTACGCAACATTACTTTTTAACCACCCGTAGGTCAAGCAACGCCACACTGAGGAGCTGACCTAATTTATATTGGGGAACCTAATAATAAAATTTTCCTATATTGGCTAACTTTTACTTGGAGCTACTAGCCTATCCGAGTATCTAGAATTTGTTTAAAAAAATAATTAGGGATAATAAATTAAAAAGTGCGTCATGGCTTTTAAGGAAGACACTAGCGCTATCTTATATGTCACCGTGGGAACAACGCGTTTTGATGAATTGATTAAAGTTATTTCAAAAGAAATCCTCTTAAAAAGCCTAAAGAAAAATTTTGGTATCAACAGAGTAATTGCTCAAATTGGTATGTGTCCCTACTTAAAGTTTTACTTTGACTTTTTTGGAAAGAATTATATAATTTTTTCTTTAGGAAATTCATTCGTATACGATATACAGGAAGCCAAGGAAAAATTTAAAGAATGGATGGTTATTGAAATATACCGATTTAAACCTGACATTAGAGAAGATTTGCTAAAGGCAGATTATATTATAAGCCATGCGGGTAGCTATTTAATTTGTAGATTAACATACTAAAAGTTTGTTCTTCTCAATTTTTTTTAAAAAGAATAATAGAGTATAGTAAAAATATTCTTACTTACACCCTTTGAAAATGAGCTAATAACAAAAAGCCTGTACTAAGGACGGTATCTATTTTAAGGTGCCGGAACAAGCCTGGAAGCCTTGCATTTAAAAAAAAAACTTATAGTGGTAGTCAACGAAGTTTTGATGGGTAACCACCAGATGGAACTGGCTACCGAACTTGCCGAAAGCAAACATGCGATCTTTGCCACTTGTAGGTATAGTCAGAACTTTAGAACTATTATACTATTTGTTATTATCAATTTTCTGTAAACCAATTTTTTTTGTAAAAAAAATAGTACACTAGAGGAACAGTTATCTAAAACTACGCTTTTTAAGGATTTGGTCCCTTTAAAACCTGCAGATCCTTATGTTTTCCCAAATTTTTTAAAAAAAATATTGCTTTGAGAATCATCATTAGTTACATTTTTTTTTTAAATAACTAAATTGAGTTAATAAATATATTCTTAAAATAATAACTTAAGTATGTATAAAGATTTTAAAAAAAAGTCATATTATTTTAAAGGTAACTGTGCATAAGATGCCTTTTTTAAATTGAAATTATTTTTACCTGAAAGTACTAAAATTTAAGTACTTTCATTTATATACCTTCACGTTGACTAATTATAATTTTTAAACTTCTTTTTCTAGCTTATGAACCTCCTTTAAACACACCGTAAAGGGGTAGTTACCAATCAACTATAGCAGTTTCTAAGCACCTTCCTTTGGCCGTTCTCGATTAAATTACGTAACTCGAGTTATCAAAATCTCTATTATTTATTTAAAAAAATATTAAGTAGTTCCTCCAAAGTTAAAAGGCGGATGTCTTAGATTTAAGTGTCATTTTCTTTATAATACTTGACAATAAAAATTTTACCTGTGTTACAAGTCAATTTTAAACGTTTTTTTTGGCTTAAATAATCTTAACTGTCAACAGTATATTATCTTACAGTATATAAATTTATTTGACACAATATACTTTAGGGCCTAATCGATACTGATTACTGTGTCGTTATTAGTGTTAACTTTACAGGCTTAAAACTTTATAACTAATATTTTATAAACCATAAAGTGTATGTATATATTATGAACAAACAAAATATAAAATTAAAGATTAGGAGAACTTATATTCTACTTTATAGTCTAAAAGCAAATTCGTTACTGTGTATAAATTTACTAGCTGCTGGTATATCAGACTTTTTACGCGTCTTATTCGTATACCTTTCAAATAATTTTGATAAGTCCACAATTTATCATTTTCTAGCCCTCGTTTTCGCTATTTTTACACTAGCACTCATTTTTAAAAAGTGAAAGCTCCATATTTACGCTCATATCCCACTTATATCCAATATGCCCAGTGATCATGGTGGCGGACGTTCTGACTAACCAAAGACACCATGCTTAGTTGTAAAAGTTTAGAGCATTTCTCTCCGCTACAGTATTAGTATTGTTAAATAATTTTAAACTAATTTTATTTCCTTATCTTTTTAACTTGCTTCATATTTTTTATCTACAGGGAGCCCTCTATAATGAATACAATCAAAATAAACCTCCATTACTATTTTTTTTTATACTTTTCTGTAATAATTTTATTAAAATAATTTATAAGTTAATATTTAATTTTATTTTAATTCTTTTATATTACACTTTCCATTAATTAATACTTCAAGAATAAATTGGTATAATTATATTTTTAATTTATTTTTGTAGTTTTAAAAATATATAACACATTACTTAGATTTTTTTTTCTTGAAGTCATCTTTTATAATAAAGGCTGATAATTTTTTATAAAGCAACCTTTCTAAATCTTTTTGATATATTGGCAAGTCAATCTTAATTACGCAATTTAATTTTTTGGGTTGTATAGTTTTTTTTTCAAGAAGCTTACTACGTTTTACTGAAAGATCTTTAGTAAAAAGCATGAACTGCAAGTTACAAGTAGAGAGGTTTTTTAGCCTGAGATTAACGCGGTAAAATGTAAGGTGCACTTAAACATGATTCCTCGTTGAACCCTGGACAACCGTATTGTTACCCACTAGCAATGTTTAGTAACGAAGTGTAAAGTAAATGGCTGTAAGCATTGTGTATTCACCTAATTATGACTACAGGACTGCTAAGTACGCTTATAACTCGGAGTAGCTTCAACCAGTATGCGAGAAGGCAAGCTTTTTCGCTTTAAGACGAAGAAGCCGTGACTAGTGTAATATTATTTAACCTTTTTTAACCTTTTAAAACTAATCACAGACAACTTAATGAGGATGTTTTTTTCTATCGACGTCACCTTGAGCGTTCTTGAAGTCTTGGCCAATTTTTACTTCGAGATATTCAAAACAGATCCTTTATTAAAAGCTAATTTATCTAAGTGTACTTACCGGCTGCTGATAGAGTAGCCCAATTATGACGTGCGATTGACGGTTTTATTATCGCTAAAGTGCGCTTTCAGCCTCAACTTTGAGGTAATAACGAAAAGAATTTTGGCTAAATAAAATGTTTAAAAAATTATTTTTTTTGTTCAAATTTTTGTTACCATCTTTTGCAAGGATTCGAGTATTTTAAGTTTACTGACCCGATCGGGCATTAAGTCTAACATTTATATTTAAAGATATTCATTTTATATAACTTTATTTTCAGTAACTAACAATAAATATATATGTATATATATCACACAATTTTTTATTACAGGTATAACTATTAATTTCTAAAGCACTTTTTCAAGTTTAATTACCTACTTTTTATAAAAAAAGCAAATTTGAAATGGCAGGACAAAGCAAAACATGCTTAAAAAAATGTTATAGCTTACTTAACCAAGTTCTACAAGTTGACTTTAACGTTTATCTATAAATAGCGTTCCTTGGTGCCCGAACGAGTTAATCACTTCGAATACACGAGCTGTTAAACAGATTTTTACTCGAGTACAAGTTAATTTATTGACAAAAGTGTACTCTTCACTTTCGATTAAATTCCCAACTCAGCTTTCAACCATCATGCTAAGAGTGCGCCATCTCACAACTTGATGTCTTCCGCTATAAGGCGATTATAGTGTCCACCTATCCGTTCGTAGAAGCGACGGCATTAATTATAAATATCTCGGTCGGCAGCTCATTCTGTAGTACGTAATTAAATCGCAATTATTTAAAGGCGAAGAATTATTGCAGTCGAAGTGAGAAGGTTATTGCCGATGTCGTAGACCCAGGCTGGAGGTAAATATCCCATAATCAGCTGGATCCACAGCACGTAAAGCCTTCGTTTTTTGCGCAACAGAGGATAGCCCGGGACGTCGCCTTGACCTTCTCATTCACGTATTTTACGTGTGGACGCCACATTGACCCCCAGGTATTCTAACTGAGAACACGAACTTTCCATCCCGTTATAAGTTAAGGGTTTCGGTAGTGCATGGGACAAGAAGCGTATCTTACTTTTTGCCTTTCAAATGGATAAGTCACATGGACGGCACCAGCTCGCAAGCGTGTCCAGGAAAAATTATGGGGAGAGACATAGTAAAACGGGTTGAGCACACAAATCAGGCAATATAATACCGATATTGAAAAAAAAACGTCCCATATAGACAGCTTTACAATGATACCAAATGAAGCTTTGACAGCATAAACCAAAGGACAAGAAAGTACACTTCAACACGTCCTAATCGGAGGGGTACACTTTCGACATTTTTACGAGGACATCTTGCGTTAATAATTTTTACAGCCTAACTGATTGAAAATTTCAAATATTGGAACTAGGAAAAAACGAATCGGGAGCTTTTGTTTTTTCGAGCGCTGGGATTACATCTTATCAAGCCCTAAATTGATTTGCGAGTACATAATATCTGTCTACACAAGAATGTAACCTGTACCGATAGGAGGTATTTAAGGAAAGAGCTAATGGGTCTCCCCTGTTCCATCATTTCGTGTACAACCTCAGTGCACGCCGACTAAAAGGTAGCTTAAAATCGCTCATACCGATTGTGGTAAAACTGTGGGCGGATTCAAAAAAGTTTACGTGTGCCCAGAAGAAAGACAATGAAGAATCAAAACATTTTTTATTAGCTTTGTATTGTGTTAATAATTTTGTGAAAAAGTAATTTTTTCCACTACTGCTACACACTTTTTTTACGAATTATTTTGTAATTGAATTTTGACCGCCTGAGGGCACAACCCTAATTAATCATTTAAGGGAAGTTGTGAGCGTCGCCCTCTTTCTTTTTTTCGCCTCTTTATTTTTGTCAGTGTTTATTAGGTGGTGAGCGTAGTGATACACAGTCTGCTCGAGAGCAACCAAGTAAATTATTACAGCCCTTTATTAAAAATTTTTGGCCAACTCTATATTATACCATTGTAGTATAATATATTATATTAATAATATATTACATTACTCTCTTTGATTACGATATATTAGTTCTTAAAGTTATAAAGTCAGTGAGATCAACAGTCATTAAAGTTAAACTGTGTTCATTTTCTGAATATTCATAAAAGAAAACAGAATATCTAAAAATAGACATGTGGATTATAGGTACCGCCCCTGGTCCTGCAAGATTTAAAAGGAGAAAATGGGAGGAAAAAGCATGATAGATAACACTCGCCTAGGCATCTGCGAAAGATCTAGATCTCCAACCAAATGCACGTTAAAGAGGTCATAACATTGAAAAAAAAAACGCAAGCCGCGCACAAATAGATAATATATACATATAATAGTAAATAAAACTTTATAAATACTGCGTAGAGCTCCAAGTCAGTTGCTCTTAAGCATGATTAACTATAAAAAAAGATTATTTAGTTTAAGATTGATATCAAACCGTAATAAGAACTTATGTCATTACTAATTACGCCAGGCTTAGTTTTTAACTGATAATTTCCAGACGTAAATACTTGTGGGGTAATGAAATTGCTTGCCTAACTTAGTCGATATCAAAGTTTAACCTAAGGTATGACAGGTTCTGCTTGTGCACCTCTTAGGAGCTACGATTTTACAGGCAACATCAGTATTCAACACACAAGCGTCGGCAAAGGGTTTATAATTGAAGTTATTTAGCTTTTTCGTTTCTATGAAAAGACACGGAAGTCTTGCATTAAAGTCTAATTATTACATAAAAGTAATCTAGCGAGATAACCCTAGTAAAGTACTCACCGATATTATGTTTTTAAAGCACAGGTAAGCTAGAATTTTCGCTCAGTACTTAAGTCAAACAACGAGTTTTTTCCAATTTTAAGATTAAGTTCTTCGACCCGCACCTAAGTAAACTCTCCTAAGTAGAGACCGACAACCCTAAGCTTAGAGGCTTCGTTCAGGAAGGTGCCATAATCCACAGTATGTTGGCTGCATAGTTAAAAGATAGCTAGAGTATTACTAATTACATGAACTCTGCAACAGGAGTTATTTCAGTAAACCCAAGAAATCAAAACTAAAAACTTAGAATCAAAGGTAACATGACCCAAGCGAGTTAAGTCTACATTCAGAGTTTATTCCACTTTGTGCTGTTATCCGCATTTTGACCTTATCATGAACTTAAGGACACAAAAGGTTTCGCTGCGGACTAACAGCACTGTTGGAAAGATCTTTCTCGGTCACTTTACGAAATTAACTTAGGGACCAACCTCAATACTCTCTTTGTAAAAAAGGTACTTGATTCTGCGGTGGCGCGACGGCGCTCACAGCGATGCCCTTTGACGGTCAAATATATATAACACTCCCTCCCCCTCCAAATCTTTATTATCACAAGATGTTGATGTAAATAAACGAAGTTTTAGCTTAAATAGCATGCACGAATTTAAAATTTATGTAACACGAAGAATCGATCTGGGTGTTATTAGTGAAACATCTTCCCAACGTTCCATTCAACCTCTGCAACTTTTCGACCTACCGATAGGACCGCCTTGATAGGGGCGGTGAAAGCGTAACTATTTTGGTCAGACGAAACATTTAACACAGTGTGATATTTTTTTTCCTAGCCCTGCAAAGCATTGAGGCGGTTGGAGTTTCCCTCCACTTAACCAGCCAGGGGCCCCTGTCGGTAATTGTAGCTCACAAGGCCCCCAATATACCACTTATTATCTCGAATCTTGATGCTCTTTTTGAAACTTGCTCCTCAGTTATTGTATGTGGGGACTTTAACTGCAAGTATCCCGCCTGGAACAGCCAAGTTAATACCCCAAACGACCGAATCCTCGAATCTTACTCCGACGAGCGCGAACTGCGCGTCTTAGGTCCACAGTACCCAACGCACATGGCAAAGACAGGAGACGTATTAGATGTAGCCGCTTTGAAAATAAATTTTTATTTCAACGGCAATTAAAGCTCTTTCCGAACTCTCGTCGGATCAGCTGCCAGTTCTGCTTGATTTGGGCGAATGCAAGGAGTTAATGAGAACACAAACCAGAACTTTTACGGACTGGGGCTTCTTCTCTGAGACTCTTGATATAACCTATTCAACAATTTCCCCTTGCTTAACACGCCTGCCTTACTTGACGTTACTGTTGCTGAATTCGAGGGCGCTTTGACCATGGCGTATCCCACCGCCACGACAACACGTGAAGTTGAATCCCGCTCTTTCCGCTTGCCTATAAATTGAAGGCCTTACCCCGATCGGCGAGGCCTTATTCTAGTGGCGACGGTATATCGCAACACCCCGAAGATAAATTAGCGCTTAATAGACTACTCCGGCGCATTTGGAAAAGATATTGGCGCACCATAACCGATTGTGGGAAACAAAGTTAAGTAATATATCGGATACTAACCTGTAATGGTTGCGTCTCTTTCTGGAAGTTCATAAGGAAATACAAAAACCGAGCTCGTTTACCATTACCTACTATGCGACAAGACAATTTCTTGGCGGGAAATAATGATGACAAAGCGACAGTTTTTGCCAATCACCTCGCTACGCAGTGTGTGCCACCTGCTTATTTAGTTTTTGATGAAGTGCTCTGTGAATTAACTTCCTTGCTGACGCCGAGGAACAGCTTGAGTCAATCACTATAGCCGAAAATCGTAGGGATTATTAACGCTTTTCCGAGAGGAAAGGCACCTGGCCCCGACGGTATCACCAACGTTATGTTAAAGCAATTACCAATGATAGTTGTAGAACTTCTATGCTGCCTCATTGACTCTACGAGGGCTCTCGGCATCTTCCCGTTGCGCTGGAAGACGGCAACTGTTGTGATGCTCCGAAGACACCAAGATCAGCATTTACGCAAACAAATACAGACCTATCAGCCTCTTATCAGTCGTCGGCAGAAACGACCATACTGCGATCCTTGTAAGTACTGTTGACGCAAGCCATACCCTGCCAGAGTTCCAATTTGGATTTCGGCAAGGACACTCCCTACTCGTCAACTCCACCGCTTGCCAGAGTGGAGGATCCGTCCTCAACTCAAAGAAGGAGCGGGCGCTGTCCTTCTTGATGTCAAAAAAACGTTCGACCATGGTTTCCACAAGGGCTTGCTACAAATGGCGCCCATAGCCCCTCCTTCTAAAGTGATCAAATCTTACCTTAAGGACCGCGTTTTTGATATACGGATGGGCGATGCGCGCTCATCCCTAAGAACATTAACAGCCGGAGACCTCCTTTATCACCCTTACTCTTTGCAATTTATCTACGCGATCTGCTACAGCCTGACGACCCCCACATGCGGATTCCCTTATATGCAGAAGAGACGGCCATTTATTCCTCGTCAAAGTCACCTACCCTATTGCGCCAGCATCTGCATTACTACCTAGTGACGCTTGACAACTGGTGTCGTCGTTGGAAAATTACTTAAAAATGCAGGAAAGTGCAGAACTCTTTTTGCCACAAAGAAGCGCACCAGTACACTACCGCCGCTGACCTTGAAAATAAGGTAGTTCCTTGGCGTCCTCAGGCGAAGTACCTGGGGGTCATTATTGGCGGTAAGCTCTCGTGG